TTTCTGGACAAAAATATAGGTATTATGTATGGAATTTCTGAAGGTAAACATCACTGTGTTCTTTGTCTTCTGTACTTGTCTAAAAATATTGTTATGTACTTGTTAAAGATTTTACATTTATATACAACTTATTCTAAGAGTACTCAAACTAATGTAAAATAAGTAAAAAGCCTATCTGTTAGGTTGGATCTCCTTTCCAGAGGGGTTACTTGGTAACTGCAACATTTTCCACTGACATTATGTTTGGTTTTACTTGTTACATATTTCTGTATTAAGATGATAGACTATATTTTTTCTAATTATCTACATGCACATTATGAAGTTCGGTATTATCTGAACATTGTGATTCATAGGAATCATTATATAATGTATCTTGAAGATGTGGGAAGAAAAACGCTATTTAAAGATATTACCTGTATAACATTCTCCCGTTTCTCACCGTTTTCTTTAATTTTCCAATGCAGATAACAATACCCAGACCTTCAGTGGCATCCACACAGTCTGCTTCAGAGAGCTTTCACTATGGCCACCAGCTAGAGAGAAGAGAGCAGGATGGGCAGTCTGTGGAACTTTCCTCTCCAAAGGAGAGTTTGCCAGGTTTGGTTGTGATAGAAGATGCACTTCCAGGTAGTGCCAGCAGACCAGATTTGGTACTTAATATCAGCCAAGAGGTGCTTGACAGGGAAGGACTTGTCAAAGAATGTGTCAGCATGCTGGACTGTGGCCAAAAGGACCTACCTGAACAACACAGTGGGATACAGGAAGAGAAAGAGCTTGAAAACATTCCTGTGGAGGAGGCTGATGAAGAAAGGCTTCCAGTGGTTTCTGAGGATGCCATTGAAATGCTAAGCAAAGAACAGAATTCTTCTTTGCCAGGAAACTCAAAATCTGCAGAGGAAGAACCTCTAACAAATACTGCTGAAGAATCAAAGCCAAGGCCCGTTTGTTTGGTGCCAAATCAAGATGAGGTTCTGGTATTAGCACCTAAAACGTCAGAATCGTCTCCCTCAAGACATACTAACGCACATGTTAATAGACAGTCAAGCAAAATAGCAACTGTTCAGGAAAATGGTTTTCATTCTGATAAGGAAGAAGTTCATAGCCAAGACTTGAAATGCCACCAAGTGGCCCTTACTACTTTTTTGCAGCAGGAGAACAAAAAAGAGAAAAATGCTCCCAGAAATGGAGAGTTATTGCACTGCATTTCAGAAAATGAGAATTCTTATCGATCTAAGAAGGACTCAGTTAAATCTTTTGTATTCAGGCAGAGCCGAATCCCAGTTTTAGCACAAGAGATAGACTCAATATCAGATTCGTCTTCTGTTTCAGCAAAGGAAAAGCTGCTTCTAAAAAAGGCCCATCAGACAGACTTGGTCAAATTACTTACAGAAAAGAGACAGCTCAAATCTTTCCTTGGTGACCTCTCAAGTGCCTCTGATAAGTCACTGGAGGAAAAAATGGCTGCTACTTCAGTACCATTTTCTGAGGATGATGTCTTAGCTTCATTTTCTAGATTGACACTGGACTCTCATTTCAGCAAGCAGAATGAAGATAGCTCTTTGTCTCCAAGCAGCCCTCAGTCAAGAAAAAGCAAGATTCCAAGGCCAGTGTCCTGGGCAACCACTGACCAAGTCACCAGTTCAAGTTCAGCTCAGTTCTTTCCTCGGCCACCACCAGGAAAACCGCCTGCTAGACCTGGGGTAGAAGCTAGGTAATGCAGAGAAAATAAGGATAGGTTTTCAGGTTGAAAATGGATTTGAGTTAGACAGCAGTTACTGTGCAGTATGTAATCCTGTAGAAGTTATATCCTTAAACTAATTTTCTAAAAAATGCTGGGCTTCAATTCTCTGAGAAATCTTACATTGTTGGAGAATGAAAGAGGAGAAACTGATACACAAGAATGAGTTTGCTTTACTGTCAAACCTTAGACATCAATAGATGTGTATTCAGTATTTTGAAAGCCATCAATCTATAACTAAATCTCAACACTTTTTTGGAAAGAGAGATCACTTTTCTGGAACTGCTGATTATTCACAAACCCCGAGAAATCAGTAAGGTCTGTCATATCCAGCCCCTTTGAAAAATTAATCTGTTTTTAATGTAGAAATTGTAAGTATTTGGGTCTGGAGGTTCCAGCCATCAACATTGACTCAATTAGCTATTCTCAGATAATGGATAAGTTAAAACAACTAATTAAAGGAGGGCAGATTGAATTCTAGAAGCCCCACCCCTCCACCCTTTCCCACTTCTACATACAAACAGCCATGATCTAGTTTCTTCAGTGCCTACATTCCCCGGATAAGGAGAATTTTGATATGGTAGTCCTAAATCCTTTGAAAGAAGTTGTGGTGTGCCTTGTCATCCCTTAAAATTGTGGGTAGGAGTGTACTGATGGTGTACAGGAATGATGTACCCCTCCAAAACAGAGGTGATAAGCACTGCTCTTCAGAGCACTTCTTCAGCACCACCAGGAAATTTCAGTTGCCCTGTAAACACTGAGCTGCTTATATGAGTGAATTTTTGCAAGTATAAATACTGTGTTGATCTGAAGAACACAAGATGCCAAAGCCTAGATCCAAACACCTCTACTTTACAGTAAAGTTCAGCTCCACATGTCTGTTCTGCAGTGCAAGCTCAACCTTAGTTTTTAGTGATACTGTGTTTCTATTTGAACTTTAGTGAGTAGATGGAAACAGAAATAATCTTTCTTCTCTTCTTCTTAAGGTTACGCAGATACAGAGTCCTAGGGAGTAGCAGCTCGGACTCAGATCTTTTCTCTCGTCTGGCTCAAATCCTAGAGAATGGATCTCAAAGACCAAGGAGTTCTACCCAGTGTAAGAGTCCAGGATCTCCACATAGTCCCAAAACACCACCCAAGAGCCCTGTCATCCCCCGACGCAGTCCCAGTGCCTCCCCTAGGAGCTCTTCTTTGCCCCGTACTGCCAGTTCTTCTCCATCCCGGGCTGGGAGATCCCATCATGATCAGAGGAATTCATCCCCACATCTTGGGAGGAGTAAATCACCTCCTAGCCATTCAGGCTCCTCATCTTCTAGGAGATCCTGCCAACAAGAGCACTGCTGCAACAAAACAAGCAAGAATGGTCTGAAAGGATCTGGCAGTTCTTTCCACCATCCCCCAAACACTAAGACTCCCACAGGAAAGAGCAAATCAACCACTAAGCTTAGCAGATAGGAACTGGGCCTTGACAGTTCCTCCTAAATCTGATGCATGCTGTGTCTGTGTACTGTGTATTTAAAAAAATAATCAGAAAAAGTATATTAAAAAAAGGCATCAAATCTGCACATTTTGAAGAAAGTAAGCATTGTAAACTATACATGAGAAAGCATTCTATGTAAATCAGTGGCCAGGCTTTGTCTAAGAGCAGGCAGCAGGCAGATCTGTGAGAGGGAAGTAGAGGCCAGGATAAGAAAGGCTAGGTAGTCAAAGAGGTGCAATGTATTAGAATAAGAAATATCTCTGAGTTGACTATTTTAAGAGGGTATTTATTTCAATGGTTTTAGCTTATCTAGTTAGAAGATCTGGCCTAATTATTTAAGCCCTTACATACTCAAGGAGTGTGTAAGAAAACCTGAAACGGTTATTCCCAAAATGATGTTACGACTCAGGAGACAAGTACTCCTCAAGCATGTCTTTGCAGTTTTAAAAAAAGCACATAATTTAGAAGATGGTGGTATTTCTACCTTATAAATTTTGAGCTGCACTCATCTCTGAGTCCCTCAGTGCTCATCTTTTCCCCTATCTACCATGGCACAGACTTTTTACCTAAGGAAATACCATGTACCTTGCCCATTTTTGTCATTGATGACATTAAAAAAATCAATACATTTGCCAAGATTTGCTGTTTTGGTCATTTGTTTTCTAAAAACATGAATCAGAGATGAGGAGATTGTGAACTTGGCAGTTTATAGGTGACAGAAATATACTTGAGACCCTTACAGAATCCGGCTAATAATATTAGTTATCAAAGAAAAATATACAGAAAGAAATCTGAGATATGTTTTATACTGAATTCTTGTATTCTTTTGCCCAAATGTGTTTTTGGTAGCCAAGCTTCACTGACTGCCAGTAAAGTCCATAGTTTGTAATTCCTCCAACATTAGTTGGTAGTTATTTCTTGTGCTCTACAGGATCTCTGTAGGGAATGTAAAGGTAAAGCACCTTTTGCTACAGTCAGAATAGTAACACACAAGAATGCGAGCCTGAGAAAGAGTGAGCCAGCTCTCCCTCATTATTCCTGTTGTGGGGATGCTGGATACATAGGAGACTTGTCAGTTACTGATCTGCTTGCTGTAGTCATATGCCTCTCCAGCCAGCATCTGTGCTTTTTTATTTAACCTCTGCCAAATGAATACCTTTGGATTAAAAAGGGAATATTTTGTCTCTGAGCTAACACGTTCTAATGCTGCATTAAAGCTGCCCTGGAGCTGCACTGAATTTCACTTGCTTTGTCAGACTGTGTTGATTTTTTTTTCCCCCCTCTTTTCTTACTATGAATATGTATATTGTTTCCCATACGTAATGTAGCACAGTGTGGAACCTTACCTTCATTCAGGTTTCAAGCACTACAGATGAATGCAATAGGTAGGGTATACCTGCTTTTTCTGAAGAAACTGTACCATTGGAAAGTCCTATTCCTTTGTATTATATTGTATAATAGGTGCTATACCAATAATTGCATGTCCTCATGGTAAATTATATATTATAAATATTTATATATATACATATATGTATATGCTTATATACATGTATATGCTTATATATATGCTTATATATTCTTTCTCATTTTTCATTTGTAATTTATGGACCACAAATAATGCAGTTCCCTTTCTGCTAGTTCCTGTATACTTACATCTTCTATTCCCCCCCAAAAAATCTGGAATGCACAAATTCTAATAGCCTTTATACCTTGGTACAAGATTGAAGGACTACTGATTTCTCAACCCGCCAATGTTCTGTCTTGCAGCTTGCTTTTTTTTATTATAATTTTGTGTGTTTGCATATAGAACAAGAACAAAGACTCAAAGGTATTTTTTTTAATTACAAATAGGTCTTGTGGTTACTTGTTTTTATTTCATAATGTGAGTTCTTAATTGTGAATACTTGTCCTATAGGAAACTGACAGTCAATGAATAACTAACGGATGAATGTGACAACGACAAATTCCATCTTTCCTTCCTGTTTTCCACATGTTTCCATACAGTATACTATAAAAAGAATTCGGTCACACTGAGATGTTTTTGCCCTGGGCACTGCTGGAATTATTTGTTAAGGTGGTGTGGCAGCCCATGATTATTTTTCCTTATTTCTGAAAAGCATTTATTATGGTCTTGTAAACTTATTCCTACATTAAGAAGGTTTTAATAGGTACCAACTTTAAGCATCCTTGTCTGACATGCTGAAGTTGAGGTGTTTATTTTCTCTCTAGTGTAGCAGGATCCAGAAACATGTAATCGCTTTACAGGTGAGAATATAACATCTAAGTATTTTTTTTGTTGTCTTCAGAGTACAGACTTGTTCATTTTTAGACAGCACTGTGTAAAATAAATCAGTGCTGTAGAAATTCACTTGTACATAACCTACTTGCCAATGTAAACATAGTAAATCATGCCAAAACAGAGAAAGAGATACCAGTCGTGACTGATGCCCCAGGCTTCTTTTAGTGCAGAAAAAGCTTAAAGGACTGTATATCCCCAGTTGCTTTTTGCTGTGGATTCAACAGAATCTAATGAGAAAATTACAAATATAGGAATGGAGGAGTGATTGTGAATAATTATGTTGAACTACCCGCTCTTCTTGATTTTTTTTTTTTTTTTAATTGCTTGATACCCTCCCCCCAAAACTTTACAGAACTGCTTACTATAGTCTAACATAGCAATCAGTTAATGTAGTTAGGTAATGATCTGCTGATCAACTCATACATAAATATTAGCTTAATATTTCTAGAGGGCCTGTATAATCATTAAGGACTCTGTCAGCTTCAATATTTGAATATGCAACTGACTGCAGAAAACCACCAATGTACATGTGTTTGGCCCTTGTGCAGTGCAGTGTGTGAATGGTTTATGGAGGGTTATCTGCAACTAATTTTCAGGGACGGGGAAGATATTTCTCCATTATACAAAATGATTACAGTTATTCTGCATAGCATACAGCAGCATATGGAGGGATACTAGCTAGGAAACAATAAAATTCAAGGAGCTGTTGGTTTGTCCTCTTCAGGCTCCATTTTTTGGAGAGTGGTGTAATAGAGCCATGACATGTAGCAGATGCTGCACACACGTTTCCTCGTTATGGTGTTTTCCGTGTTGTGACCAGCACTTTGGAGCATTTTTCAGAGAAACTGAGACATGAAGCCTTTAAAATAGAACTTGAAATCACTAAACATTTCACGCTGACTTTTGTGCAATATTGCATGGTAGAATCAAATCTAAATTGCAATCTCTAAAATCTATATTAATATTAATTAGCCTCCTTATTAATTACAAATGCCAGTGACTACTTAGATAAAACCCTGTTAAAGTAATAGAAAGTGTGACACAGTAGAGCACCCCTGAGAAGTTGTATGATGCTAAGCACCTATCTACTCCTTGAGCAGGATCGATAAGCATAGAAATTTTCACTGCTCAAAGCCAGGAACAATAAGGTCTTAACTGCTAGTTATATGTAACTACACAGGAGGGAAACCCCTGCAGAGTGACACAGGGCATTCCTTATTGCCGCCAGCCACATCCTGTCTTGGGAAATCTGGACATATTCTTATCTCAAAGTCTGCATGTTTGAGATCAAGCTTTTTTGCATACCTCACTGAACAGTCTTTATATACAGGGGAGGATCTAGTCCTATATATTTAAAAATAGCTTGAAATATTTTTCAGCTGAAAAAGACTTGCAAGAGCTCTGTCGTCTACGATTTGTAGTATTATGGTATTAACTGTAGTTGGGAAGACACACAATTTTATATATATATGTATAAATACATGTTTGTACATAAGTGTATCTATATATACACTTATATAGATACTGTATATTATATAGAAATATATATATACATGCATACATATGTGTGTATATACATATAGATAGGAACAGTCTCAGCTATTCCATCCTGTTTACTGGAATTCATTTGCCAGAGTGAGCTGAGGCCTGTTTTGCTTTGATTTACTCTGGTCTTCTCTTCATCTACCGCAGTTTTCCTATGCTCTAATTCTGTGTGTTTTACATACTACAAGGCCTGATCCATACTACTTGGGCAAAACTCCCATAAATCCTTCTTATTGCAGTAACATTTATGCAATGGTTGACTCTAATGCTTCTAAAAAAATTTCTTTCTCTTTAATGAGAATGTAGATAAATCCAGACTTACAGTACAGTCTCTGTCCTGTACACAGAATC